TGGTGAGAAGGGCAATACTGGAACGACACATTACCCGAATTATCCTTTTCTCAAACAAAGTGGTGGATCACGTCTATGTGCTGTGACCGCTCCGATGTGATTGGGTTGCGGATCAGGGCAATAGCACCTTGACTATAGTCCTTGATCTCAATTGCCCGTACCTCGTAGCCCAAATCCCTCATCAACTTACACAACCAAACCGCCTCCCACGTTGCCATGTACTCGGCTTCAACCGGCGATGCAGCAACAGTAGGTTATAGCTTATAGCGCCCCCTTCAGAATAAAGATGTAGCCGGTGGTGGCCGCCAACTATCTGGGTCACTGGCCCAGTCCGAATCCGCGTACCCCACCAAAGACTGCGAACCGCAATAAACAATACCATACGCTAATGTGCTCTTAACGTAACGCAAGACGGACTTGGCAGCCTCCCATGTGAAGGGGCAGGCTTCGACATAAAACGTGCGAGTTTATAGACGGCCTGCGCAATATCAGGCCTTGTACAGACTGCAAGGTAGATTAAACCACCATCCAAAGATCGAAACTTGCTGGCGCCTGGCAACAGTTCTTCATCAACGGGCTCCCGCCGCAATACTAACGACGGCTGCACAGGAATAGCCGCGGACTTAGCGTCAATCATATAAAAACTTAATAAACAAGTTCCCTGCATACTTCTTCTGCGATATAATAAGGGTCCCGGCGGTTTTATCACGCATAACCTCCATCCCCAAAAAGAACGAGACCTCGCCTAAATCACGCAAATCAAAGTCCTTCGCCAGTTCTTTCTTTGACTGGGCTATTAGATCCTTAGAGTCACTCCCAATCAACAGATCGTCATCATGGATGAGCAGCTCAACAACGTTAGTGCCTTGATACTTGATAAACAGGCTGGGGTCCGCATCTGAAACCGTGTAACCCATTTCCCGTAGCTTATTTACTAATTTAACATACCAAGCCCGGCTGGCTTGCCGAAAGCCGTACAGCACCTTCAACAACCGACACTTTAGACCACGCTCGCTGGTCACAAAACCTTCGGGCTGATCAACGTAAACCACCTCATCCAAATGGCCATGCAAAAATGCTGTGCGGACGTCGAGATGGTGGACCTCAAATCCTTTGGCTGCAGCTTTGGCGAGGAAGGCGCGTACGGTAGCATGATTGCTTGTTGGAGCAAAAACTTCATCATAGTCCACGCCCTCTACTTGCATATACCCTTTTGCAACAAAACGCGCTTTTATAACGTTCTACCTCGCCATCGGCACCAGTCTTTACTTTATAGACCCAACGGCCTGGTACAATGTTGGCGTCCGGGGCGGGTGCTCTAAATGCCAAGTGTCTAGCCGGTGCAGCAATGCGATTTCCTCCTCCATTGCCTCCCACATGTGGCTGCGTTGACTTGATGGCTTCTTGAAATGACGTGGGATTGGGTGGAAGGGTAGCTGCCGCTGCGATCAGTCGCTCGGGAGCCTTACGTTCCCTAGTACTTCTCCGGAGGCCTGATGTCGATGCAACTGGAGGGTTTGATGTCTCCCCCACAGATGCATCGGCATCGGCCACCTGCTCCCCCGCATCCTCGGCACTCTCATCCCCCGCATCCTCAGCACTCTCATCCCCCGCATCCTCGGCACTCTCATCCCCCGCATCCTCAGCACTCTCATCCCCCGCATCCTCGGCACTCTCATCCCCCGCATCCTCAGCACTCTCATCCCCCGCATTCTCGGCACTCTCATCCCCCGCATTCTCAGCACTCTCATCCCCCGCATCCTCAGCACTCTCATCCCCCGCATCCTCGGCACTCTCATCCCCCGCATCCTCAGCACTCTCATCCCCCGCATCCTCGGCACTCTCATCCCCCGCATCCTCAGCACTCTCATCCCCCGCATCCTCAGCACTCTCATCCCCCGCATCCTCAGCACTCTCATCCCCCGCATTCTCAGCACTCTCATCCCCCGCATCCTCGGCACTCTCATCCCCCGCATCCTCAGCACTCTCATCCCCCGCATCCTCAGCACTCTCATCCCCCGCATCCTCAGCACTCTCATCCCCCGCATCCTCGGCACTCTCATCCCCCGCATCCTCAGCACTCTCATCCCCCGCATCCTCAGCACTCTCATCCCCCGCATCCTCAGCACTCTCATCCCCCGCATTCTCAGCACTCTCATCCCCCGCATCCTCAGCCAGACCTACTGCATCATCATCCTGGTCGGCACCCTCTAAGTGCTTTCTCGTATCAGAAAGAGCAGGGAAATGCCTCGGGAAAGGGGGCCGCTGGTGAACCTATACCACCCTGTAACAACATAAGACAGACAGATAGACAGACAGACAGGCAGGCAGGCGGGCGAAAGACAGCTGAAGATGGCAATAACTGGCGTCCGGGATCTGCATGCTGTAAAGAAAGGCTATCATCATCGCCGTCGAGAAAGGCCGGAAGGGGGCTAGGAAATGGTAGGAGTGAAGACCAGAACTCTTAACAGGCTCTGACAAGACCCAAAGGCGGCTTTCGTGGGTGTGTCTGAAGGAAACGGGGCCCATGCGGGGCCCCGCCCTATAGGGAAACACGCAACATCCACGCGAGAACCAGGAACTTAAAAAAAAACCGTCTGTGTATGCCTTATGTCTCAACCAGCATGGCCTAAACCGTATCTCCAGTCGTCACGACCACAGCGACAATCCATTGATGGAATGGACTCTCCGGTACGTAAGAGCCCCCTTGGTCAATGGCCCCGGCACTGCTCATCCCCTTACGGCAGTTTCACCGAGTGGGCACTTCATCTCGGGGTGTAGAGTGAGGAAATCATACCGCCAAGATGAGCGGCGACTGCGTTGGAGAGGCCGTAAATAGATCTGGATCCGGCTTAAATCTGGATCTGGATTTTCCGGATCCAGGCTGGGCAGCTTCCGGTCAGGGCTCCCGATGCAAGGCTCCCTGGCGCGAGCAGGACGTCCTAGAGACTCCTCCGTCTTCGCATCAAGGCTGGTTAGCACGCGGTGTACGCCATGTCCCATGCTGCAGCGTCTGGCTTCCCTTCCACTTGCTCAAACGCTGTGGACCCCACCTGTGCCTCTACCACAAAGCACAGTGTACGACCTACAGCCCATACTGCAGAATGGTGCTTCGCTGGTGGAGCGCGGGCAATAGCAATGCAGTAGTAGCCACCGCGCCGGAGGTGCAGGTACATCTAGATTACAGGAATGGCGGGTCATCCACCAATGCCAACATGTCAGCCAAATACCGGCAAGTCCCCAGCTTGCGCCAGTATTCCTCCAAAGGAGATATGCGCGCGTTGGCTATTGGATTACGCATCACAGATGGATTGAGCCATGGTGGTGGAGGTCAGGGCGAAATGGCAGCAGCCCACCTCAGCCCTGGCCAATCCACCCCACGCCAATCCAAACTGTGCACCAGCACAGTGTGACGACCGGCTGAACGCCGACCGTGCTGCCCCTTCATGGACGGCACCTTGACCAGTTACCCTGAGTTACCAGCACATCTTGCTGCGCAAGTGTGAACCATGATTCATGGACAACGGTGTGATTACCCTCTCGTGTCGCTTCCAGGATCGCGGCTCAGGACAATATCAGCAGGGCGGTCAAGATGTTCAGCTTCTACATACTTAGGTACATGGGTGAGACTGGCGAGCGGCTACCAAACACCAAAGGCCTTAAAGTTGCGCAAAAGCTGTCTGCATGGCTATCCTATCTATACCTATCTACCTCACATGCGAGAGGGGGTTCCACTCCTCCGCTCTCTAGTCCAAGACACCATTGCCACACGCCATGAAGACATGGAAGTGAACGGGCTTCATCGACGGAAAGCTACAAAGCAGCCTTTCCAGAAACCGCGCACTTTTATAGTCTAGTCAGCGAGTAAAGACGTCTCAAAAGAGCTGGGCGGGGCAGCAAGCCGCCCGCTTCCACAATAGCCGATCAGTCGGCCAGTCGATCAAACAGTCATGTCCGGCGAGAGAGTCAATTAGTCGGCCAACAACAACAACAAAAGGGTATGAAAGAAGTATTGTACAAAAGGGACGGAAAGTCATCTCAGACCGGCCACACACGAGCCCCAAACATGTTCATCTCATCTCGTTACAGGCGGAATGCACGGAATGTGATGACTCAACCACACACACACACACACACGCACACAGAGAACACAGGAAGTACCCGCCTCCAGCCGTGCTCAGGGTTGTGGGCCAGGGTTAGCACGCTGCAGCCTCCGCCCCCTCACAGCCCCTCACGGCGGCTCCAAAACTCTGCAGCAGCCGCCCAGAGCGGTCCACGTCATCGGTCCACGTCATCGGTCCACGTCACTGGTCTACGTCACCGGACTGCATGTACACCCCCACCCTCATCGCCACACGGCGTGGGTTGCTGGGTTGCAAGCATGCCATGCTCATGATTCCATCAGCCACCAGCGTGCCTCTTCACGATTCGGGAAGAACGACCCTGCACTAATCGAACTCGCCAGTAAGGTAGTGGTGATACCACCACCGCCGCCGCCATTTAGCGGCCAGAAGGCAAATGGGTCCACATGGTATGCTGGCGGCAACAAGGGCAAACCGCAGCTGAAAGGTACGGCATCCAGGTCAAGATCCGTTGTCTTGCCCCTTAGATTCGGGCGCACCGTCAACTCCTGTAGGACCGGGGGGATTGCGCGTGGGGGACAGGTGGTTTTAGGCATGTGGGTCGTCGCGAAACATGTCCGCGTGTGCTACCACGGCTTGGGGTTCATCTCCAGGGCGAGGCTCCCAACCGGGGGCCCCCGCCTAGGGGGGAAGGTGCAAGGGTACTGCAATAGCCCACAGGACGCCGCATCTGGTGACATAAGCTCTTAAAAACGAAGTGCTCAACCTCTGCATCAAAGAGGAGGAGGCACGCAAAAACCTGGATGGCGCCCGTACCCGCAGGTCCTCCCTCCTTCAGTCTCGAGGATATGCCTGCGGTTGCCCTCGTAAGCTTCCTTCCAATCTTCCTTCCGCGGAAACCCGTCGTCCCGTTTAATTTTAAACCCGAAGAGATCTTTTCAGCCCTTTTGCCGCATGAGTGTCTGCATTAACCTCAAGCTCATGTGAGCTTTCTCTGCATCGCGCCATCCCCTCGTCTGCCCTCCAAACCGAGTCTTTCCCAGGCCGTAGGGTCCTGGTCCTTCCCCACTTACCCAAGCCGAACAAAACCCCCATGTGCTTGGACGCGCCTTCGATTCCCTGAAAGAATTTGTTGGCCAGTTTGATGAAGGTGAACGAGGTAAGGAGGCTGTCCGAGCCGGCCTGGTGCTGAGGCCCAATACGTTGAACTTCCAGCATCTCGGCCAGCTTGTTAAGCCCGCCGTGGAGATTGTCGCAGTACCGCATGAGATACTTGATGTCAAAGATGTTGGGGAAGTAGATGTTCAAGAGCTCAAAAAACTCCTGCTCAGACTGGGGCAGCGGCTGGCAGGTCAGGATTTTCAAGAGGTACCCAAAGTCGTAGTTGCTGTGGAAGGTAATCCATCGCACGTCATCGTTGAGAACGATACCAGACGTCATGAGCAGTTCCCCAAAACGGTGCACGTCAATGCCTTTCGCCTCATGTGTAGCAAAGTCGATGCCCGATTGTTTAAGCAGCTCAATGCTGTCCTGTGCATAGACATCGTCCGCAAGACGGAACCCCTTAAAGTTGAACTGCCAAACGCACAGCTCTCCGTTCGCACGCGGCAGGTTCCCCTTTGCATCCGTAAATGTCAGGCCCAGCTGAATCAGCTTAAGCATATCTACGTTCATCTTGAGCGCCCGGTAGAGATACTCCCGGCTGCTCTTGAATGGGCCCAGGGGCTTGGCCACCACCCCCGGAAACTCTGTGTCCATGGCCACATAAGGATACTGGTCTACAAAGTCGCGGATGAGGGTGAACTCCGCCTCCAAATTGTCTTCCCATACTTCTCGCACGCGTAGTGTCTCGCCGGTGGCGGTCAGCCACGTGGCGGTCATCGGTGTATGTAAAATGATGCAACGTAACCTATCGCAATGAAGATTGGTAAAACAGGAAAGCTGAAATATATGAGGAGGGCATATATCCGCTAGCGTTTTCAGCAGGAAGCGAGCAGAACGCCACCCAACGAATACACTTCATTGAAAGGACAAGTTGTAACCAGTTCAATGACCCCTTGGAAAAGTAGGGCCTGGTCCAACTGTACGGCAGCCGTCCTATAAATCCCAGGCGCAATATTCTGTCGCAACATATAAACCAGTTTACTGTAACCCGATGTCAGGCATTTATTGGCAGCAAAATTTGCAAGTAACGCTGCAGGGGTCCCGTTCTGGCCACTGAGTACAAGTGCGCAACCCGTTTATGTGTCCAACGGGATAGCAGCCCCATCCTAGGCCATCTTAGTGTGCCGCCTACCCGGTTCCGCCCATCTAAGCTTTGCGAAGTACATTCGCCAAGTGAGTAGCACCTCAGGATAGAGTAGCAGGCTTTAGTTTTTCCGGTGATGGACCTATCCACTACCGTTACAACAAGTATGGAACCCCTTGGATTCTATGCTCCCGTCTGCACATTCCAAAGTACCGGGCGCCAGGTACAGTCATGCTGGTGAAGAGCCCAGCAGCCCACCCTAAGTTCGCTATCCGCTGAGGTGCACAGAACGTGTGAAGATAGAGGAAAAGGGGATAATGCGCCGATAGGTCTGCCGTGGCATTTCCTGAGAAGCCCGAGGCCCCGCGCTGGGTGTGCTGCTACGGAGCGGCCGCACGCACCCAGGGTGCAAAGCCTCCTCCCCTGCCCCGAGGAAACCATCTACTCGACCCTCAGGTACAATTTAGTTCCGAGGCTTCAGCGAGCAATAGTGGCTAGAAGACGCACGACGGACTCGCAAGTACGGCAACTTCGCTGCACGAAAACAATGTCCTTCAGCCCTGACCGCATATACCTAAACAGCAGTTTCAACCCGTCTTCCAAATGCCTCAATCCATTCGTACTCATTCGTACCAGGTTACGCGTACTCATTCCGCTCTCAATAATTTAACAATTCTGCTAATTTGTCTGTTTTCTTTTTCCGCAATGATAAAACCCGAGCGCCGATTAATAGCAGCCTGTCATGTATGAACCTTACTGATGGACTGGCCGGCCTGTCCGCCTATTCTAATGCTGAAGCGCTTGGGTGCTGTGGCTGAACTAGTCGATCACGCTTTCGAGCCCCCAACACACACCCGAACTGTCATGTCCCACTCCTAACCTCTCTAATCGTCCACTGTCGTTCCACAACAAGCCATCTTTTGGGGAAACAGCAGGGAGGTTAGCGTGGAGACTGTTTTCCCTTGCCCTGCAGTCTGCTCGGGGGAAGATCATCTCCTCGGTTATCGCGGATGGCGCATAGGCACAGTCTTGGGTGGGCAGGAACGGAGGCCTGCATCAATGCACGTGGCTCACGGCATGACAGCTGCGTCTCTCACAGATGTTCTTGGATGGGATTGGCAACGGCGCAGGCGTCTATTTGCAGTCAGGCAAGGGTTCTTCCGAGCAGGATCGCACCTAAGAGCTGACGTGGGTTGTGTAACCTCTTGGATTCCCAGTACGTGGAAGAATCCTTCGCGAACGCCGACAGTAGTGGCTGTCAGCACCTATATATTTAGTCTACGTAGGAAAAACAGCCCTGTACTCCGTTCGTAAGTTTTAACCCAGAGAACAGCAATCCGTACCTGTACTGGTCATGGTGCACGGTACACCCTGCCCAGCAGATTGCAAACCAGTACCGTCAATTACTGCGTACGATGATTTTGACATTCTGGCGTTCTGTGCACTCTTTTGCTGGTGGTTTCACTGGAGCAAGGTCATGCCCTACCAGCTATCGTACGTCTTGTTTCCAACGCCCTTGACCTGTTGCCTTGGCCAGGACCTTCCTATAACTGTTATCCGTGATAGGTCATACGTGCGCTTTGCTGAGCTGTAACTGTTAAGTGCTTTATACACCGAAGGTTTTGAGTCCCTGCTCAAATTTAGCTCCGGTTTGCGGACAGGAAATAATACGGGCATGCGCACATGATATTAAGGTTTTATGGAACGTCTGAAACTACCTCTCATTCGCCATGAGGTTCCCTTATTTAACACGGGCAGCGGGCCTGAGGAGCGGATGCAGACAGGTCTACCTTCCTTTTAGCCTTACATACCAGTAGCTATATCGCCGTTTTGTTACCAGCTGTACTGGGCGTCGATTTGGTCACGACCGTCCGGAGCTGCGGACCGCGATGCAGCGCCGGGGCGGCAGCAACGACAGGCCGGAAGACCCTCTAGCCGAAGAGCTGCGAGAAAAGACCCTTGCGCTCATTTCAGTTCAACGTAACTATGAAAGTATATCTCGACTCATGCAGCTCAAGCAACAGGAGCTTGAGCAGGTGCGATGAGGGCCGCGCCAGGGCCCACCTGAAATGGCCCGTTTCGGGTCAGCTCGCGCTTCAACGGATCGCGCGTGCAATTGGGAAGTGGGGCTGTAAACAAGGGTTACGTGTGGCTAGAACGCTGCCAGCCATTTTGCGTGGACCTGCTGGGTTTCGCTTGAACGGGTGGGATCTACACATCGCTGGAACAACCCACAGAAAGCAGACGAGGTCCGTGTGTGCCAAAAGTACTTAGGGTAGTAGCAATCAACACTCTCGCTGCATGGGGCCTGTGGCGCATTCCTCGTTCACTTTCCTCGCACCCTCCTCGTTCTTCGTACCGCGCACGTGCTTGTGTTCGACCAGGGACCAGGGACGTCGTCCTAGCCATCCAGCTGCTGTTGATCGCACAACCAGGAAGAAATCAACACTCCGCATTCCGTGCCACCTATGCCCGTTACTATCTATCGTCCTATTACCACTGCACCACATTCCGGCGCCATCAACATGCGGCCCCTTGGGTCGCAATCCCACAAGGCCCCTGCCCAGGGTCCAAAACACGCACACACACACACGCACACACACACACACATACACATACACACACACATACACATACACACACACATACACACACACTGATCCCCATTAGCGTGCCAACCTTCAAGCTTCGTCGTGGACTCTTTGTTCTCCCTCCCTTATCCAGACTCTGTTTCCATCCCTTGTCGGATCGCATTCGCTTCCATTCGGCTCCTTTCCCATCTTTCCATTGGGCGCCGGCACCTGTCCCCCCTGCCATCTGCGTATTATCCCTCCACCTTCCGCCGCTCCGACTCCCCCTCACACGCCCTCAGATTCAGACCACGCTAGCAGCCGAGCAGGCCACCAGCGTGAGCCTCGGGGTGCAGCTGGAGGAGAGCCGGGGCCGATGTGCCTCCCTGGAGAAGCAGCTGGAGGGGCTGAAGAAGCTGCCGGCCATGGTGGCGGAGCTGGAGGTCAGTGTGTGCGTGTGTGTGTGTGTGTGTTTGTGTAGGGGGGGAATTCGGCATGAGGTGGTCTGAATTGCTGCTTGGCCTGCTGGGGGCCCCGCGTGGCGGGAGTTGGCTGGTACTGGTGCTGGTGCTGGTGACAGAGTGGTCAAGGGCGAGCTGGTGCATGTCTTTTGTCAATGCCCACCAGCCTACACCTTCGAAGATTTTATGCTAAGGGCTCAAATGCGTATTGCGTATTGTTATGGCGGAAGGAGTTCTCTCGGAGGCCTGGGAGGCCATGAGGCGGCACATCGCGCTCAGGCACGCAGTCATAGGCTAGCGGGAGAGGCTAACGTCAACGTCCTCACCCGGCTCCACCATGACGGCTATTGAACCCCCGAGGAGACCCGGCTTTACGGACGGCTTTTGTACGGAACTGATACCTTGAAACCTGCACACTTGTAACCTAAAGCATGTCAGCGGATGATGACAATCCAATACAGAACTTTTTTCGAATGAGGAGAGTTGTCACTCCTGGAGAAGCCGCTCATGTTCCCAAGCGTAGTAGCTGGGCGCTCTGCCAGCATCTTACGAGGCCTTTTCAGCCTGGCCTGGTGTGCTGGTGCTGTCAAATTTTGGTTGGGAAGGCTGTTTGTACTGGTGTGCTGATGCTGGTACTGGTGCTGGGCGAGGTTCGTTACTCATGCTCGTGCTGGGCTCGTTACTATTGAGGGACGGCTAACCCCCGGTCTTTTACTGCGGCTGGATAACCTTATCCAGGTTACTTCATCTCGTCGTACGGGGTTGTACGTTTGGTTTTGCTGACGAAGAGAAGGGTGGGCATTGAGGCAAGGACCATGTATTCGTACGTGTATGTACGATTGTACGTCTGTGCATGTCAATGTACGTGTTCTTGCAGGCTGAACGTGAGTCCCTGAAGCGGGATGCGGCGCAGGCCAATGTCCGGGCGCTGGCGCTGCAAGAGGCCATGAAGGGGTGAGGGGGCGGGTCGGGCGGGTCGCGGACAGAGCACAGTGCTCCAGCGTGCAGCCACCACACGGCCCTGCGTGTTGCTTTTCTGCCACTTGCACTTGCACTTGCACATGCACATGCAAGGAATCGCATATACTGCAAGCAATCGCACATGTCGTCCGGTCTAGACGCCATGATTGTACACCGCGGACCAACCTCCTATCGTTCTTGTTGTCCTCTTTTTGCCACACCAAAAATTGTTACTTGCGGACGCAAGAACTGCAAGCAAAGCTTCAGCATCAGCACAAGGATGCGGTTTATTGGCACAAATCTTAGGTTTAGCGCTGGGAGTTACGCCGAAGCAGACGAGTTTGCAAGGCACAGAAGCACAGAGCTCCCGTAGTAACACTGAGCGGGGGATGAGGGGGGGGAGGTGAGGGGGTCCTACTACCGGACAAGAGCGCTTACCTATCTTTGACAGCCTGACCTACTTTTTTCCCGCTGTCCAGGTTACGGCATTCCTTAGAGGAGGAGCAGCACAACAACGAGCGCCAGCGACAACAACTGGAGGTGAGTCCTCCCCCTCCCCCCCGGGAGGGGGGCGGGGGGGGTGTTGCCGGAGCCCGGGGCCGGAGCCCGGGTTCAGGGGGCCGAGTGCCAGACTAACTGTACTAGTCTGGGCTTATCAGGGGATCTGCATCCGCCGATTCGTACTTCCTGAAGCCGTGGTATATCACAGACGACCTGCGGACCACGGGTGCGTGGCTGGGATTAGGGTGAACCTCGGCGGGTCCCCCCCGCCGGGGTGGGTGGGGTGGGGTGGGGTGGGTGCTTTCTCGCCCTGTGAGCCCTGTGGGCCCTTCGAGCACCGCACTGCTGTTCCTTCTCTTACCGTTATCGCTACTGTTTGCTGGTGGTGGTGGTGGTGGTGGTGGTGGTG